TTCTTCCTAGTCTGTCTTAGTCTGTAAGCTCTGCTGAAACCTGCCTTATATGTGGTCCTGTTGGTATTTAAAATACTGGTGACATAGCTTCCAGCATCATAGCAACACACAGGGCACCACAGTGTGACAAACTGATAGATGAACAGTGGAAAATATATTATACGAGTAAATAAACCCATTGTCATTGAGTAGATTCCAACTCACAACAACCCTATATAGGGTTTCTGAGACAGGAAATCTTTATAGATAGCCTCATCTGTCTCCTGATAGAGATAAAAAATAAATAAATAAAAACAAATAGTATAATTGTTAGTACTAGTATTGGTATTTTGTTGTTGTTGTTGTTAAGTACTGTCAAGTTGGTTCTGACCCATAGCAACTCTGTACAGGGTTTCCAAGCAGTAGCTAGTGAGCTTGCTGGCCTTGAGGTTCAAACTGACTTTGCAATCCAGCACATTAACCCACACCAGGACTCTTTATAGAATAAGACAAATATTTAAGTTTGTTAATGTTGGTGGGAACCTAGATTTTTCAATACAAGGAGAAACTAGAGTTTATAAACAAAAAAAAAATCTAAAAATCTTGTATTGTTAAATTTGAATTAGAAATGTTAGTATGAATTCAGCCTCTTTTTTGTCTTGTAAAAATGTGTATTGCCTAAAAGCAGTAACAGCCCAGTAGTAATAAGCACATTAAACACCCAGATCGTGGGCTCTAAATAACATTTCCACTCTAAAAGGAAAATAAGGTATTAGAAGTATGGGGAGTATATCCTAAGTGTAGTTGTTAGGTGCCCTAAAATCTGTTCTGAGTCATCATGACCTAAGTACACCATAACACAATACTGCCTGTCCAGCGCCATGCTCACAATCATTGCTATGTATGAGACCATTGTTGTAGCCACTGTATCAATCCATCCCATTCATTGAGGTTCTCCCTCATTTCAGCTGACTCTCTACTTCACCAAAGCATGATATCTTCTCTAAGGACTGGACCCTCCTGATAACATGTCCAAACTACTCTTCTAAGTCAACTCTCCTGGCAGTCCATGGTGTATTCAGTATTTTTTGCCTTAATTCAAAGGCATCAATTCTTCCTCAGCTTTATTTATTGTCTGGTTTTCACATGCATATGAGGTGACTGAAAATACCACAGCTTGGATCAGGCACACCCTGGTTGTCAAGGTGACATCTTTGCTTTTTAACACTTTAAGGAGATCTTTTGCAGAGGATTTGCCCAATTCAATATGGTGTCTTTGATTACTTGACTGCTGCTTCCATAAGCATTGATTGTGGATCCAAGTAAAATGAAATCCTTAACAACTTCAATCTTTTCTCCTCTTATTATGCTGTAGATTATTGGTCCAGTTGAAAGATTTTTGTTTTATGTTAAGGTAAGGAGCCCTAGTGACACTGTAGGATAAACACTTGCACTTGGCCCACCAGCCACTCTGAGAAAGAAAGATGAGGCTGTCTGTTTCTGTAAAGATTTACAGTCTCAGAAACCCTATATATATAGGATCACTATGAGTAGGGTTTTGGGTTTATATTGAAGGCTGTAGTCTTTGATTATCATTAAGTACTTCAAGTCCTCTTCACTTACTACAAGCAAGGCTGTGTCATCTTCATATTGCAGGTGGTTAATGAGTTTTCCTTCAATCCTAATACCACGTTCTTCTTCATGTAATCCAGTTTCTTGGATTATTTGCTCAACATACAGATTGAATGTTGTTGTTGTTGTCAGGTGCCATTGAGTCGGAACTGACTCATAGCGACCCCATGCACAGCAGAACGAAACAATGTCCGATCCTGGGCCAACCTCACTACCGCTGCCACACTTAAATCCATCAATGATGCCATCTGGCAGATCCATCTTTTAGGGGTCTTCCTCTTTTTCTCTGACCCTCCAACTTACCCAGCATGACATCCTTCTCCAGCGACTGTTTCCTCCAGACAATATGTCCAAAGTATGAGAGACAAAGCTTAGCCATCTTGGCCTCCAAGGAGCACTCTGGCTGTACTTCTTCCAAAACAGATTTATTGGTTCTTTTGGCAGTCCATGGCACTTTCAGTATTCTCCTCCAACACTACAACTCAAAGGCATCAATTCTTCTACGATCTTCCTTATTCACTGTCCAGCTTTCGCATCCATACGAGGCTATTGAAAACACCATGGCCTGGGTCAGGCGCACCTTAGTCCTCAAGCTGACATCTCTGTTCTTCAATACTTTAAAAAGTTCCTGTGCAGCAGATTTTCCCAATGCAATACGTCGTCTGATTTCTTGACTGCTGCTTCCGTGAGTGTTGATAGTTGATCCAAGAAGAATGAAGTCCTTGACAACTTCAATCTTTTCTCCATTGATAAGAATGTTGTTTATTGGTCCAGTGGTGAGGATTTTTATATTCTTGACATTGAGATGCAATCCATATCGAAGGCTGTGCTCTTTGATCTTCGTAAGTAAAAGTTTCAAGTCCTCTTCACTTTCAGCAATCAAGGTTGTATCATCTGCATATCGCAGGTTGTTAATGAGTCTTCCTTCAATCCTGATGCCACGTTTTTCTTCATAGAACCCAGCTTCTCGTATTATTTGCTCAGCATACAGGTTGAATAAGTATGGCGAAAGAATACAACCCTGTCTCACACCTTTCCCAATTTTAAAACATTCAGTGTTCCCATGTTCTGTTCAAACAACTGCTTCTTGGTCTAGGTACAGATTTCTCAGAAGTACAATTAAGTGTTCTGGAATACTCATACTTCTCAATGTTCTCAGTCTCCTCTGACATCCATTTTGACCTTTTCCTTCTTTCTTGTCTTCTTAATGACTTTTTGATCTCTTCATGTATGATGTTCTTGATGTCATCCCACAACTCTTCTGGTCTTCGGTCTTTAGTGTTTAATGCATCAAATCTGTTCTTCAGATGATCTCTAAATTCAATCTGTGGGAACAGATTGAATAAGTATGGTGAAAGATGCAACCCTGAAGCACACTTTTCCTGATTTTATGCCATTTGCTACCCCCTTGTTCTGTTCTAACAACTGCCTCAGCATTTGTGTACAGGTTCCTCATGAGCACAATTAAGTGTTCTGAAATTCCTATTCTTCACAATGTTATTCATAGTTTGTTGTTATCCATAGTCAAATGCCTTTACAAGTAAGCATCTTTCTGATATTCTCAACTTTTAGCCAAGATCCATCTGATGTTTATGATATTATTAGTTCAGTTGTGAAAATTTTCATTTTCTTTACAGTGAGGTGCAATCCATACTGAAGGCTATAGTCTTTGATCTTCATCAGTAAATATTTCAAGTCCTCTTTGCTTCCAGCAAGCAAGGTTTTTTCATCTGCATATTGTAGGTTGTAAATGAATCCTCCTCTAATTCTGACGTCATTCTTTTTATAGTCCAGCTTCTTGTATTATTTGCTCAGCATGAAGCTTGAATAAGCATGGTGAAAGGATCCAAACCTGAAGCATACCTTTTCTGATTTTGTTGTTGTTCTTGTTGTAAAGAGCCAAGTCAGTTCTGACTCCTAACTCTGTATAGGGTTTCCAACGCTTTAAATTTTCACAGAAGCAGAAAGGCTTATATTTCTCCCTCTGAGTGGTTGGTGGGCTGAAATGGCAGACCTTGTGGTTTGCTGTCTGTCCAATGATAATTGTATGGAGCTACCATGCTCCTGTCTGTTCAGTAGTTTATTCTTTCCATTTTCATCACTCTTCTTTCCTCTGGACAGAGCCACCAACAGCAGTTACATGTAGGATGGCCACTTGTGAGCTTTTAAGGTCCCAGATGCTAATTCTAAAGTAAGATGTAGAACACTGTCTCTTCGGATTATGTTATGCCAATTGACCACGGTCTCCCCAGAGGCTATGGTCCTGAACTTTTTTTTTTTTTCTGAGCATACTTTTTGAATTAACGCCAACAAAATCTTACTTGTGTGTGATACTTGTGTGTGGAGTCTGTTCCGACTTATAGCGACCCTGTACAGGGTTTCCAAGGCTGTAAATCTTTACAGAAAGCCTCACCTTTCTCCCATGGAAGAGCTGGTAGTTTCAAACTGCTGACCTTGAGGTTCACAGCCCGATTCGCAACCACTACGCTACCAGAGCTCCTTGTGTGATTATATAGATGAGTAGTTACACGAGCCACCAATTGAGAACAGAATGGGGTCTTTTAAGACGTCATGTACGAGGGGTTTCAAAAAATTCGTAGAAAATTAAACTAAAAGATAATGGAATTTCCCACAAACTTTTGGTTACTCCTTGTACAAGTATACCCTTTGTAGGGTACTCTCAAAATTGTTCTGAATCTCGATCTCCACACCTGGCCTTATTTTTCCTATCTGAGGGTAGAGAAGCAAATAGGTCACAGTTTGTTAATAAAATCATCACCCCTTGAAAAGTCTTGTGAACTCATCTTTCCCAGAGGAGAAGCACCTAGGTCCCAGGAAAATACAGCTAAAATGTTGCAAGGATTGATTTGAACTTGAATCTCAATAAAGCGTCTTTTTAAACGAATGTTAGCACTAACAGGGAAACACTGAAGAATAAAAGCATACTGGAGCAAGCCCTTGGACTGTTAACTCCTTAGGCAATGGGTTGGGTGGGGAGCCCCGGCACCCGCAGGCAGAGGTAAACAGAGCTTGTACGCCTGCGCAAGCCCCTCCCGGGTCACGTGGCAGCTCGGTCCAAGGCTCTGGAGATTTACTGAAGTTCGACAGTTCTAAGGGACCGTCTACAAACTTACAAGAGGCGGCTTTTTTCCCTAAGGGAGCGGATTCCCCTAGGAGCGGAAGGTTCGGTCAGAAACGCCCCTTTCTCTCTCCATTTCGGGGAAAGTGGGGCCAGTGTTGGGCCTGCGGGGCCCCGTTGTACCTCGTGGACCATGGCCCGTTGTGAGGAGGGCAGCACGGCGCGTATGGTAATTCCAGGGTCCCCTGAAGTTTGCAGTAAGGGGTTGCAAAGAAAGGGGCCCTGTGAGCGACGCCGGCTGAAGGCGAAGGTGTCGGAGCAGCTCAGCCAAGATCTGCTCAGGTAGGGGGAGGCGGGAACAATGGCTGCTTCAATTCCTGAAACCGCCCACCTCCTGCCCCCCAAGGCTGTAGTTTCCTCCTGCTGCCTTTATCCTTACCCACCCATTTCTCTTCGCGTCTGGCCACTGCGGGCTCTTAACTGGTGTCTCCTCATGACTCCAAAAGCGCGTTCTTGTTCTTTCGCTCCCCTAAACAGCCAGTTCTGAGCAACTCGGGACGCAAACGGAAAACAGAAATCTAAAATTGTGATTATGTGCAGCACCGGTTTTGACTTGAAAGCGCAATGGCTGGGTTGGATCCTGTTTTGTGGGTCCTGAAATTTATGCAAATTTGTAAACGCAATTTTGTAACATTTTTAAGGAAAAAAATTAGATTAGAAAGTGAATATATATTTAGAATGAAAAGCAGGGCAAATTACTGGGGCCTTGGAGATCTCTTTCTTGTGAGAGACAAATTTAACCGTTTTTCCAGAAGTGTTTATATAGAAAAGGATTGTAAACTGACTTCCCCTCTCCACTTAGAACCCTCTGCAACTCACAGCAACCCTCTGCCCCCACGAGGAACCTACCCAATGGAGCATCCTGAAATTTAACTTTGTAAACCTAGAGGCTATCCACGTTTGGTTATGGTGACTCCAGCTTAATTGTTTGCAAAGAGAATAAAACTTAGACATCTTCCCTAGCTAACTTCCATTTCCAACACAGCACCAATTCTGGAATTTTAGTGTTCATCAAGTCACCTGGAGGATTTAAAAAAACACATATTTGTTAGCTCCTAACCAATAGTTTCTGATTCAGTAGGTTTGGGATGGGGCCCGAGATTCTACGTTTTTCACAAGGTCTCATGTGATGCTGATGCTGTGTAGGCAGGGGCGGTACTTTGAGAACCACAGAACTAGTAACATCAGTACAGCATTCTACATTTAAAAAAGCACTTTCTGTCAGAAAACTAACCACTCTTAGGCATGCCAGCAGTAATCTGGATTTCCCTGTGATTTTTGCTTTAGTTTACACTGCCTACCTGTGAGTCCCAAGGTTCTCTGATAGCGTAGTGGTTACGGAATCGGGCTGCCAACCTCAAGGTCAGCAGTTCGAAACTACCAGCTGTTCCACCAGAGAAAGATGAGGCGTTCTGCTCCCGTAAAGATTTACAGCCTTGGAAACCCTGTACAGGGTCGCTGTGAGTCGGAACCGACTCCACGATACTTAACAACAACAACCTGGGAGTCCTGGTGTGGCGCTGTGGGTTAATGCGCCAGACTGCAAAGCCGTTTGAACTGCTAGGTCGGTGGTTCAAGCTCAACACCTGCTCCTCGAAAACCCTATCCAGGGTCGCTATGGGTCGGAACCGACTCAATGGCACTTCACAACAACAACCTGTGAGTCCTGGTGTGGCACTGCAGGATAATGCACTGGATCGAAAGGTCTGTTTGAACCACAAAGCCTGCCGTTCAAATCTGTCAGCTGCTCCTTGGAAACCATATATTGGGTTTATATGTTAGAACCAACTCAGTAGCATTTAACAACCACCTGCGGGTGTGGCACTGTAGATTAAGCACTAGACTGTGGCAGTTCAAACCTACCAGCTGATCCTTGGAACCCCTATACAGACTCGCTATGAGTTGGAACCTACTCGATGGCACTTAACAACAACAACCCGCATTGTGGGTTAGGCGTGGGCTGCTAACCACAAGACAGGGAGTTCATACCCACCAGCTGCTCCTCAGGAAAAAGGATGTCTGCTCCCATAAAGATTTACAGTCAGAAACCCTAGAAAGGGTCATTATATGGCTGAATCAACTCAATGGCAGTGGATTTGGTTTCGTTTTTTTGTGTGTGTGTTTTTGTTTTACTGGGGATGCTTCTTCTTTGTCTTTACTAACGTGGAATTGATGTAAAAGGTGGCAAAAATAAATTTGACATTGCCCTGTTTCTAGAAGGAAGAATGAGATTATTCCTCCCCATCCCCTTTATTCATCTGACAGCTTGTTTTGCTGTTCAGGATGTGGAATAAGTTGTTGTTAACTGCCATTGAATCAGTTCTGACTCATAGAGACCCTGTATAGGGGTCTCAAGGAGCAGCTAATCTTGTGGTTAACATTCCAGTGTTTATTCAACAGCACCACACCAGGACTCTAAGCCTAAGGAAAGTGGAAAGTAAAGAAATTAATGAGGTAAATTAAATTTGTGGTCACTGAATCTTAGGGCAGGAACTTTTTTTACATTATGTATTTAAAGACCTCACTACTGGTGGTGGTTATGTGCTGACTCATAGCTACCGTGTACAGGGTTTCTGAGGCTGTAAATCTTTACGGGAGCAGAAAGCCTCATCTTTCTCCTGCAGAACAGCTGGTAGTTTCAAACTGCTGACCTGTGGTTTGAAGCCCAATTCGTAACCACTACGCTATCAGAACTCTTTATCTAGACACTATGAAAAAGGTTTTTAACTTAATAAAATTTCTTGAGGTTCCCAAATGTGAAATATAATTACAAACACATTTTCCATGTTATTTAATGTAAGTTTAACAATATCTTGGGGAATGGGTGGTTCTAAAAGATAAGCACTGGACTGTGAACAAGGTTTGTGGTTCAAGTCCATCAGCCGCTCCTAGGAAGAAAGATTAGCCTTTCTGTTCCTGCAAAGATTTAAACAGCCTTGAAAACCCCACACAGGGTCACTATGACTAGGAAGCAACTCTACAGCACTTAACAACAACAGTTGCTGTTATGTGCTGTCGAGTCGGTTCCGACTCATAGTGACCCTCTACAGGGTTTCCGAGGCTGTAAATCTTTACGTGAGCAGAAAGCCTCATCTTTCTCCCACGGAAGAGCTGATAGTTTCGAACTGCTGACCGTGAGTAGCAGCCTAATTCGTAACCACTACGCTACCAGATCTCCAATAACAGTAGTATTCTATAAAGTGACATAATACATGTAAATTGATTTGTGAGCTTTAACGTGTAGTATGAATTTAAGGAAGGTAACACACCTAATTTGTATAAAAGAAAATAATGTTGAAAGTAGAACAGGTACATAATTTATCCTTGGTCTAGCAGTTGAGCATCTTGAGTTCCCAAGTTCCTCTTAAAAGCAAAGAAAAATAGGTGAAACATGTTTGTTTGTTTTAATACAAAACAAAACAGAACTTCCTATCTGTGCTCACCAAACTACCTTACATGCTATGCCAAACTAGTCTTTAAATACAGCAATGTTGTTGATTTATTCCACAAACCATGGACTGTCTGTTCCTGTACTATTGCTGCTGTTATGTGCTATTGAGTCAGTTCTGACTCTTAGTAACTCTGTATAGGGTTTCTGAAAGTGGCTGGCTGGTGGGTTTGAATTGCCGAGCTTGTAGTTACCAGTTCATTGCTTATCCTGTAATGTCACACCAGGGCTCATTGTTGATTTATTGTACAAACAATGGACTAGGCCTGTATTGTTGTTGTTATTAAGTGCTGTTGAGTCAGGTCTGACCCATAGAAACCCTGTATAGGGCTTCTGAGGAGCAACTGGTGAGCTTGAACTGCTGATCTTGTGGTTCAAATTGACTTTGCAGTTCAGGGCATTAATCCACAGTGCCACACCAGGACTCCAGCTCTGTACTAGGTCCTGATAAATCAAAGACTAATAACATGACTTTGGTGTTTTGCAAGATTTCCTGGGTGATGCAAATGGTTTACACTTACCTGCTAACTTAAAGGTTAGTAGTTTGAATCCACTCAGGGGTACCCTGGAAGAAAGGGCTAGGAATCTGCTTCCATGAGGATTACAGCCTAGACAACACTAGGATTGTGTTTATTGTCTAGTGAGAGAGCGTTAATGTCTGGCAACAGTGATGAGTTGGGGAAGGTTTCATAGAAGAGTGATATTTGAACAAGATATTGGAAATTTATTAGGACAAAACAAGCAAGCTGTTCACCAGGAAGCCTTCAAGGCAAGCAATCAAGACCTTTCAGGACAAACCCCCCTCCAAGACTGAAACGCAAAGGGAACACATGAGCAGCTTGCTGACGACCATGTTAGTCTACTGGTGAGTGGAAGAGGGGGAAAGGCAGCAATGAAGAAATGGGCTGAGTTCAACCACGTTCCATAGACTATTGTTGACCTGTAGATGAGAGAGGGAAGAGGAAGGGCTGGTTGGTCGGAAGTATAGTGAGAACTGGGGACTGCCCATGGACAAGGACATAGCCATAGAGGGCTAGTGCTAAGAGTGAATTATCCAGCTGATATGAAGTGAGGGGAGTTGCACAAGAACACCCAAAGTTGCAGACAGTACCCATTTGACCTAGCCTCGATGGCTTGATAATCAGAACTCGACTAGAGGAAGATTAAAAAAAAAAAAAAAAGGTAAGGAAACGAGTGTAAATTTCTACAATTTGATGAACTTGACCTATACTTATGGATGTAGTAGTTCAAGATACCAATGGAGAGGGCAGGAGTCTTCACATCAAGGATCAATCCTATCCCCTCTGTATATAGGGTTGATAGGGACTCATGGGAAGAGAGAGACTGGGTGCTGGTGGCCAGGAAGCAGGCTTGCAGAATGTGCCCTTTGGTTGTTTAAGTTATTATATAATCTTGAGTGTACATCGCCCACCCCACCGCCAAAACACAAAACAGGAAATGGAAGCAAATAGTGCTGAATGATGATGCACAGAGGAGTTTGTAATCATTGCAATGAAACAATGGTGTAAAGCTGATGTTTTCTCATGTAAACTGTCACTCAGTTCACAATAAAAACTTATAAAAAGAAAAAAGAAATTGATTAGGTAGAATTGAGAAGGGAAAGGTCAGAGGTGTCTAAGTCAGGGCAACACTTTTACAAAGGCAAAGGGATTTGAAGGAGCTTTATTTTGGGAAACAAGATGTATTAGACTTTATAAAACCCCTGGTGTGGTGCTGTAGCATAAGCACTGGACTGATAACCAAAAGGCCAGCACTTTAAACCCAGCAGCCGCTCTTGGAAACCCCATACAGAGCCGCTAGGAGTTGGAAATGA